AAGGCGGGCAAGGGTGCCCTTGGCCCCCGCCGGCCCCTCCCAGACACAGCACCTGCCCTCTGCAGGGTGACGCGGTGTGTTCGGGTCCCTAAGTCGTTCGTTTCCACTGAGCTCGGCCCTGTTGGGGGGACCGCAGCGGCTCAGAGGGTCTGTGTGGGGCAGAGCCGGGCCCAGGCTCACACACTGGGGGCTCAGTGCTCCCTCTCACGAGGCTGAAGTTGGGCATCCCAAGCCCAGACGGCAGTCTCAATAGCAGCCTGACTTCAGAGGGCCCTGTTTCAGGAGAGCCCTCAAAGACTCCATCCTGTCCCATTGCCTCGCCCGAGCCCACGCCCCACGAAGTCCCTTCCGCCCCGCCATTGTCAGGCTTCTTGTGAGGCCCTAGGGTCAGTTCTTATGAGGCCCTAGGGAAAGCCCTGCCTCTGTTTTGTCAGGGTTGTGTCCCTTCTTTGGAAAGAACCCCTTTCAAAAATTTTTTTCATGTGATCTGTAATTTACAGAGAAGTTGCAAAACCGACGTAGGGACAGCCACACACGTGCTACCCGGAGCCCTCCGTCTGCACAACATGTGTGCCCTGTCCAAATACATGCGTCTGGACACAGCCTTGCCCGGCCCTCTGGAGACTAAAGCGCGGTGAACTCCCCTCCACTGCTGCCAGTCTAAGCCTGTCACATCTGTGCCCCTGCGGAGGGACGTGAAGGACACAGCGCTGGCTCTATGTTACAGAGGAGGAAACAGGCATGGACCCCCTCACACACAGCACGGCACCCCTCCTATGCTGAGTCACAGAGGCCAAGTCCTCAGCACAAAACAGACCTCTGGTGGGGACCCCTTCCTGATACTGTGACAACTATAGCAACTTCTGAGAGCCTGCTCCTCATAGGACAACCCTATAGCAACTTCTGAGAGCCTGTTCCTCATAGGACAACCCTATAGCAACTTCTGAGAGTCATGCTCCCCCATAGGACAACCCTGTAGCAACTTCTGAGAGTCATGCTCCCCATAGGACAACCCTATAGCAACTTCTGAGAGTCATGCTCCCCCAATAGGACACCCTAATAGCAACTTCGAGGAGCCTGCCT